ACCAGCCCGGCCACCCGCTGCCTGCCATCCTGGGGCCAGTGGGCACGGGGCAGCACCAAGGGGTGGCTCTGGCGGGGATGGGGACGATCCCAAACCACGGTGGCAAGCAGAGAGAGCCAGGTGCTACACAGCCCCTGCCTGAGGAGGGTGAGGGGAAGGAGAGGACCCTGCTTGGCTGGTGAAGGGCAGCTCCGGCATCACCTGCCATCCCCATCCTGGTGCGGGGACAGCCCCTTTGCTGGCCAGTGCCACCGAGGGACAGGGGTGCTGGAAGAGGAGGCTGGGCTTGCAGGGAAGCAGCTGCTGGCCAAGAGCTGGGGGCCAGCATGGGTCCAGCTTGCAGGAACGCTGCCTTCCCCATCCACCAGCTCCCCATGGGCTGTGGGGCAAGCACCGGCCTGGAGGATCCAGGGATGTGTCAGCCAGCAGCCTGGGCGATGCCGTCCCAGTGCAGCGCGGGGCCGTACCGGGATGCAAGTGGCCAGTGCCGGGGAGCCGGGGACCCCGCACTCGCCCCACACCACTGTAAGGCACTTGGGACAGAGTGCCTGGACTGGTGGGGATACAGGGGCTTGTGTGCCCCAAAGGGGGACGCGGGGGGCCGTGCAGCTCCGGGCAAAGCCCTGGCGTGGGACTGGGAGCTTGATCCGACAGCTCCCAGTCAGATCGTGGCTCTAACCTGGCACCTCTGTGCTCTCTCCACAGACGACTGTAAGAACATCGCCAACATCATGAAGACACTGGCCCATAGAGGCTTCATCTTCAAGCAGACCTCCAAACCCTTTTGATCCCCAAGGCAAGCCAGGCAAGGGCTGCATGTGCCCGGCGCCGGCGAGGCGGGGAGGACGGGCTCCAGCATTAAAAAAAACCGGCAACCGAGGCCAGAGGAACCGACACAAAAAATCTCAATTTCAGCTGTTAACTCCAGTAGAGGTTGTATATATGGAAAGGCAAATCTGTGTAGACCTGATGTGACTCCCTCTCTGGGCTGCTCCGGACATTATGCCATGCTAGCGGACAGCCGCGTAGGGCGCTTGCACCACATTTTAGACTCGTAGTTTGTTCTTTTTCTTTGGCTCCCGATTTCCGTCCCTCCCTCCATATCCCACCCCGTCCTCCCTCTCCTGCCCTGTAGCCAGAGCATCCCCCATCTCCTCCCTGGCATGGGCCGTCCCCGCCTTCCCTTCTTCTTTCTTTTCTCTGGTTTTATGTTTTCAGGCCTCGACGGCTGCTGCAGTGAGGCCGGCGCG